AGGATTAGACGGTATCTCAAATATGCTCTATGCATCTGCTACCTTTCTTACAGTATTACGTACAAGTTTGTAGGTGGCTTAAACGCTAGTGTAGCACTGTTGAGAATAGCTTAACGATAGTACTGCAAAGGGTTAGGAACATTTCTGATAAATTCACTAATCATACAAGTTTTTACAATACGAGTAGACTGAGTTTTTGTAGTACTCACTGAACAAGCTAAGGTTTGGTGTCAATATTACGATATGTGCTTAATGGTGGTCCTAGATAACTTTAGGCGGCGCAGACTTAGAAGCGTAATAGTGCTGCAATAAGCATTGTATGGAATCCATTCACATGTGAATTCAAGTATCGCTAGCTCTTTAAAACAAAAAAAAAACGATTATTCGAAAAGACAAGACGCTTCGATAAAAATTTATAATTGGCAACGAATTTTTTGTCAAGGAGGGAGGGAAAGAGGCTAGAAGGGATGAGGATGGGGCAGAGCTGCTAGGCTTAACTAAGCAGTGCAAGTGCAGAGACCTTCAGGCATTTGATTCAGATGAATTTGCTCTTGCAACGAAAGAAATTTTTTTTTCCGAGTCTTTCCTAATGAAGTGCCTGTCTTGAATTGATTCAAAAATAGCTTTTGAAAGAACTACTTCAAAGTATAGTCCAAAGATTCGCATTTATCCGCACTGCCGCAATTTTTGCTTTATTACCTTTGGAAAGGATGACCGAATCTCTAGCTTACGACAGGGAACTTTTAACATGCTTCCATATATGATGGACCTAAGACGTTTAGCAATCACATGGAGTAATATAACGTGAAGAAAATACACAAATTAAAAAAATGTGCGTTCACAAATCATCACCATCCCCATATTTTTGACCTCTCATCTACATATCTTGAGAGTATTGCGAAATACTCGCTAAATCCATTCCCTATAGCAATAGGGCCATAAGGTAGACATTGAAATGGGCTCGGATTACTTCATATCTAGCATTGGCAGCGAATCGACGTTAGTTAGATAACCTACTTGCAAGGAAACATCGCTCGAAAAATAACTTGAGACACTTTTGAAAGAGTCTAGACATTCCGTACAGAGAAGAGGCTTGTAGTGACAACCATTTTGAGAGCAAAAAAAAGTTGAATATATATA